CCTCCCTCTTTCCAGACCTTTCTTCCTTTCCCTCCTTCCTTCCTTCCTCCCCTTCTCATTCTCATCACTTTCCTTCCTCCCTTCTCTTTCCTTCCTCTCCTTTCTCTTCTTCCTTCCTCCCTTCTTTTACCTTTGCTTTGTTCATCTACTCTTTTTCTTTTTCAACACATGCAAACAAAATGAAGTAAAAAATGAAGACTTCAGAAAAACGTAAGACAATCAACTTTAGGCTAAAACCTTCACGAGGGAATATTTGATAGAGTAAAAAAAAAATAGACCCAAAACCTTGATTTGTACCAGTAACCCATGACGTACAACTGTAACTGAGCTCACATTTGTGGTTGTTCAGTCATGCTGGTTGTTAAACACCTCATTTTATAACCTTTGTTACAATGCTTGTTAAGCAAATACAGTGCCTGTCACTAAGTGAGCCAATTGTTTATTATGGGCTTTCTTTTTTTTGCCAGAAACTGGAAGGAATTGTACAGGCAGGCCTCGGTTTATGACAGGTTGCTTAATGACCTTTCAAAGTTATGATAATTCGATCGCCTTTATGACAGAATGAAGTATTCTGTGATCACATGACTGCAATTTATGACTCTTTTTTTTTTTGCCAATTTCTGGTTCTTTTGACCCCAAAAAAGAAAGAAAAGCCAATAGGAATACACGGGTTCGTTTAACGACCGTGGTGTTTGCTTAACTGCCACAATTTTTAAAAAAGTAGTAAAATCAGAGCTGGTCTTATCTCAACCTCTGACCTTCAAGTCTTATGACGTAAATTTTGAGCTCCATTGTGGTTGTAAGGCGAGGGGTTAGGATTTGACACGGGGCCTTTCCAAAGCTGAATAAACAACCCCAAATTGAGCAAAAGTGGTTTTTTCTGGATTTAATCACACACAAAACCATTATCCAAGTACAAGGGTGACACTTAAATAAGGATTTTTTTTTCCCCGATAAGCGGGAAAAAGGAGTTTCTGAGAATCAGTTCTGTGGAATAAAGGAATGGGGAAAAATATATGGGAAACCAGTGATTCACAACATCTATATATACAATAGCAAAATATGACTCATGCATCACCACAAAATCTCCAGAACTGTAAATTTGGCCCATCTGTTCTTCTTGACTTCTAGGGGCTCACTAAGAAAGGATTTTTCAAAATGACCCTCAGATCATTTAGACTATTTCCTATATTATTATTATTATTATTATTATTATTATTATTATTATTATTATTATTATTATTATTAACACGCTCTGATGCTAAGGAGTTCTACTCCCCCTCACCACCTGAAGAGAAATCTGCTCTGAATGCAAAACACAAGCAGAGGAATTTCAGTTTCAGAGCACCAAGCAGCTTTAGACCAGAACAGTTGAGCTAAGCCACGCCCAGGCTCCTTGCTGTCTCCTTTGTGCTCACACAGCAAATACTGTTTCAGTTTCCAAACAGTCCTCAACTCCATCACACACTGACAGGAATCTAGACAGAGGAATACAAAATCTCCAGAACCATAAATCTTACAAACTTGAAATTTGGCCTATATGTTCCTCTTGGCTTCTAGGGGCTCCCTAAGAAAAGATTTTGCCAAATGACCCTCAAAGCATTTAGAGTATTTCCTGTATTATTATTATTATTATTAACGCACTCTGATGCTAAGGAGTTCTACTCCCCCTCCCCACCTGAAAAGAAATCACTTCCAAATGCAAAACACAAGCAGAGGAATCTCAGTTTCAGAGCACCAAGCAGCTTTAGTACAGAACAGTTGAGCTAAGCCACGCCCAGGCTCCTTGCTCACACAGCAAATCCTCTTTCAGTTTCCAAACAGCCCTCAACTCTCTCACACCCTGACAGAACGCTAGCCAGATGAATACCCATGGATGCTGGTAGGCAGAGGCAGAATTTTTTCCCCCTTATTTCCTTGCCCCAAAACTAAGCCTGACCACATAGCACGATTTGTTTAACGACCATGGCAAACGACATGGTCAAAGGGGGAGAAACGCAGTTAAACAACTGTCTCGTTACAGCCGTGGAAATTATTTTGGTCGAGGACGGCCCGTCACTGTGTCATCCCTGCAGACCTTCGCACTAAGGTGGGCAAAATGCTGAATTCCCAACCTGCAAAACAAAAACCTTATTTACGGGAGGAACTTCCGCACAATTATTGTTGAACTGGGCTCTTGTTCCGGCCGCAAAACAACACAATCGATCAACCCGCAATTAAAGCGCACGGAGATGAAATAAACAGAGCTTTTCGGGAACTCGTGTTCCAAACCTCGATCGATGCCGGCTCCTCCTGGCAAAATTAAGATGGGATGTGGACCTCAAAGAGGCCACGGATTCAGGAGCAGGGCGACCCAGGGTGGTGTGTAAGTGTGTGCGTGCAACGGCTGCAATTGCCCCCCGGCCCCCCCCCCCACCCTCTTAATGGTCAGCAGCCTTAATTTGATTCGAAAGCTTGGCTGAGATTGGATTAGCTTCCTTCGGCACTTTGTCCGAAGAACAAACAGTCACACGGTACGCAAATTGGCCAACTCCAGGTGTGTTTGTGTGTGGAGAAGAACAAGTGGCCACTTCAAATCTCAACCGACAAATGCTTCTGTCTTACATATGGGTAAACACAAAAAGAACCGGAAAATAAAATATAAGCTGAATGGTCAAGACCTTGTAGATGACACCTACTATGTCAAGGACCTTGGAGTAGTCATCTCTAATGATCTAAGCGCTGGAGCCCACTGCAACTACATAGCCAAAAAGGCATTAAGAGTTGTTAACCTAATCCTATGTAGCTTTTTCTCCGGTAATATCGCACTGCTAACTAGAGCATACAAAACCTTTGCTAGACCAACTGTCGAATATATATTTATTTGATTTGATTTGATTTGATTTGTCAGTTGCTTACAAGATAATAGGTATAAGTATAAACATGAGTAAGAATACAGGAAATAGGTATGAATAAATGGGGACAATAGGATAGGCACGATGGTGCGCTTACGCACTCCCCTTACAGACCTTTTAGGAATGAGTATCTCTCCCTTTCTTTCCTTTCCTTCCTTCCTTCCTCCCAATCCCTCCCTTCTTTTCTCTTCTCCCTCCATTCTTTTCCTTCCTTCCTTCCTTCCTTCCTTCCTTCCTTCCTTCCTTTTTCCTGTTCTCCTTCCTCCCCCTTTTCTCCCTTCCTTCATTTTTTATTTATTTATATTTATTTGATTTGTCAATCGCTTACAAGATAATCAGTATAAGTATAAACATGAGTAAGAATACAGGAAATACGTACAAATGGGGACAATAGGACAGGGACGGGAGGCACGATGGTGCACTTATGCACGTCCCTTGCAGGCCTCTTAGGAATGAGTTATTCTCTCCCTTTCTTTCCTTCCTTCCTTCCTCCCACTCCCTCCCTTCTTTCCTCTTCTCCCTCCATTCTCTTCTCTCCTTCCTTCCTTCCCCTTCCCTGTTCTCCTTCCTTCCTTCCTTCCTTTTCATTTATTTTTATTTATTTGATTTGTCAATCGCTTTACAAGATAATAGGTAATAACATGAGTAAGAATACAGGAAAGAGGTACGAATAAATGGGCGCAATAGGACAGGGACGGTAGGCACGATGGTGCGCTTAGGCACAAATACAGCTCATCTGTCTGGAACCCACACTGGACATTAATACAATCGGGAGAGTCCAGAGATATTTCACCAGAAGAGTTCTCCACTCCTCTACTCGAAACGGAATCCCTTACGCCTCCAGACTTGAAAGTTTAGGATTAGACAAGCTAGAACTACGCTGCCTTCGGTCCGACCTAAGTGTAGTACATAAAATTATCCATTGCAATGTCCTACTCGTCAATGACTACTTCAGCTTCAACCTCAACAATACATGAGCACACAATAGATACAAACTCAAGGTAAACCGCTCCAAACTCGGTTGCAGGAAATATGACTTCAGCAACAGAGTGGTCAATGTCTGGAATACTCTACCTGACTCTGTGGTTTCTTCCCCAAATCCCCCCAAACTTTAACCTTTAGACTGTCTACTGCTGACCTCATCCCATTCCTGTTGTGGTTTGCCGGCAGCAGGTACGGACAGCTGAGGTCTCGGAGAGCGAGGACTCAGATGACGGGCCTGCGTGTGGTGCAGGGACGGGGTCAAGACCATCAGGGAGTGGAAGGCTGCTTTCGCAGGTTGTGGAGGCTGGCAGCAGTGAGGAAGAGGCCCCCGAGGAGCCTGTGCCCAGTGCACCTGCGCACAGAGCTGCTCGGAGGAAAGAGCAGCTGCAACAGCACGGGTGACTCAGGAGTAAGGCTGCAAGGTGTTGGCCCCTCCTTCAAGAGATAAAAGCCAGCTGAGAAACCGGAGTTCTTTGCAGGAAGCAAAGAAGTGTTTGCCCTCGAGCCTTGTGGACGTTCGGAATATCTTGGTTGGTGTTTGGAGACTTTTCGTGTTTGAAATATTTCTTGGCAACTTTATCTAGCGTTCTTGGCAGCCTTGCACCACATTGACAAGGCTCGTTCTTATCAGAGACAATGAGTTTGAAACAGTTTTTGAACCGGGAAGGAACGGAATTCATTTGGTCATTAACTCGTATTCATGACAGTTACGGTGTCCCAAGTTTGCGACCACCT